ATATATATTTTAACCCCACCAATTTGTTTCTCTTGGTGATATGTGGAGTATGGGTGGGGGGAGAAAGAGAGAATTCTTTAATTTATGTTGACTACAACCTATCTTTTGCTGAAGCCAATGAGGAAGTAAACAATTATTTGCTGCTTTCTACTTTGTTTCCCTCTCTCTCTCTCTCTCTCTCTCTTATTTTTTTTTTGTTTTCATTGAGTTTATTGATACATTTTAGGTATACAGTACAGTTACATTCATTATGTTTCTCTTTTTTATTTAATAAATCACTGATTTTTCTGATGCCTCTCCAGAAAATATGTTGTTTCATTGATTGAGTTTGTTTGAAGGGCCACCTGCACATTGGCCGGAAGTGTTGTAGAGGGATGCTCTTGTTACCGCTGAGCTCTTCGCTTGAGGAGAGCACGGGGCATGTAGGGCTGCATTCATGCAGGTGTAGCAGAGCACTTCTGCCTGCCAGAATGGGCATAAACCTCTCCAAAGCCCAAGCTGCTTTTAGGATTAGGAGCTTCACTACAAAATACTGCTCCCCGCACATCCACTCACAGTTCTGAGGTGCTTCTTTTGTTCCAGGATTTCCAGGCACTGAATTTCTAAATCATTGATATAGAGACAGACCTGAGAAAAATGTCTGTACTCTCTGATCTGCTTAGAGTGCACAGATGTGGTAATGAAAGATGAATCTAGCAGTGAGAAATACCCATGCTCTGTAATGAATTGAATTCCAGCTCTTTCTCAAGTTGACAAATTTTGAACCCATTTCTCAACTACAAAGTGAAAATAAAGGTAATATTTGCCTTGCACTGAGGTGTGCATGCTGGACATAATAGATATATGCTGCCTAGTGGAATGCCTGTTAGAATATGATTTCAACAGAAGGAAACAATTCTCATCAACACCGGTTTGTCTCCAAAATCCCTCTCTTAGCGTATATTTATACCTCATATGCCCAAGAATATTTAAGACTCCCAAATTCATTGAATCATGGGGGTATTAAGAGTTCTTGATTTTTTTCAAACTTATCTAAATCCTCCATAATTGATTTTATACATCTGTATTTTCCCACCAAGAGTTGTGACCAAGTCTGTCTCATTCATAGTAGCACCCAGCCCAATGTCCAATCATAATAAATGTTTACCAACTCAGTGAATCTGATCTTGCTTTTTTTCTTTCCCTTTTAGAGGCCACAGGAAGAAAAATACCCTGTAGGACCATGGCTGTTGGCACTATTTGTTTTTGTTGTCTGTGGCTCAGGTATAGTATTTCACTGAACTTATATACCATACTCTCTACTGTCCTTCAAAATCCATGTTTTATTTATAAAGTAAATAAAAAATATACCAGTCTGGGATTCAAGTCAATCACTATATTAAGCTTTAATTTAATAGGCTTTTGTTTAGCTTCTATTTCAAATATGGATGAGATAGAATTGATACCCTATCAAATCATAATCATAAAATGATTACACTGAGCAGTGAAATGGATTGTGTATACTACAGAGTTCAGGTAAGGCGTTAGGTGTAGACATAACCTTAAAAGGACTTTTAGAACAAAAAGTTCAGCACTGGTCTGCTCAAGATAAATCCACATTCCAAAGGGAGGGAGTGGCCTTGTGCCTCACAAGAGCGTTCTACAGAATTCCTTGATAACACTGAGCCTTTGACCTGAGCCTTGAGTTGTGGGTCACATGGCACTGTAAGGTGCCAACTTGAGAGCTGTACTTACACACATGAAAATATATCTACACACGTTCAAAGGGGAGATGAACAAAAGTATCACACATTTGTTCCTGGTTAGATGCTTGTTAGTGAAAACCTTGACATGATTCCTGGTCCTCGTTCTTGGATCTCTGTAATATTGTACTAGTAAGTGGAGATTGCTTCTAAGTGTGGGGATTTCTGAAGGGATTCTCCATCATCTCATTGTTACTGAAGGTAGGGAAGGTGAGAAGTCTACCTATTCCTGCACAGGTGCAGGCCTCCCACCAAGACATCTTTCTGCCCATTGCTAATGATAACAGAAGCCCATTACTAAGGAAGGATCAATTTCTTTGACCTTTAAGACATCTCTTTTCCAAGAAAACAAAAACTCTTAAGAAAAAAGAGGAATCTGAAGTACTCACTTATTGTTGTTTGTAGTTTACATGTTTTAAAGAGGATTTGGTGTTCCAAGATGAGAAACTCATCCACTCAGAGATATAAAGATATACCCCATATCCAAACATAAGTCCTTGAAGCAGATTTGTCACACAATATTGTAATCCCTTAATCATTATTTTTAACAGATGTTTACCCAGTCTCTGACTACTTCTAGGTATGGGATACTTCTTTTAAAAAGCCAATTCCATTTCTGTATAGCCCTAATTCAATGAGGAACATCTTTTCTATTTTGAACTGTATACACTGTCTTCTCAGTAGTTCAAGTTTGGACTCCTAGAGTAATACAAAATGAAATCATTCTCTTCTGAATGCCTTGAATCTTTGGTTACAGTATTTTAAAGATGTGTGTCTGGTAGTTCCTTCTGCAAACTAAACTTCCCTGGTTCTGTCAACATTGCCTCCCGAGGTGGAGTTTCTAGACCCCTCTCCTGGATACACTCAATGACTCTCTCAAACTATAGCACTGGGAAAAAGATGGCCTATACAAGGTGGTTTAGAAGTTGTATGACTTCCACAGAAGCAGTGGGATTGTAACCACCCATGATTTCACCATTCTGCTTCAGCTAATATGAGCCAGGCCTGCAATTACTTCTTATCTGTCATGCTTGTGAAGATGGCCCTTGTCAGCCAGCCAGATCCTGTCTAGCTCTTCTTCACATAAGATTCCTGCAAGTCTCAAAATCTGTGTAGCCCCTTATCCCCAGGTCTCCTCTGTCCCTTTTACACGTTATTGCTTTACTTATGGCTCTATCAGCATTTGAAATTATTTCATTATCTTGCTTAGCCATTTCTCCCCTAAATATGCTCAGGGGAGGCAGTGTTTATTTTTCACTAAATTTGTAGATCTTAACACAGTAGGTGTCACATAGTGAGTGATCAGTCTGAATGGATGAAGGATGGATGGGGGTGTGGAAGGAAAGATGCAGTCAGACATTCCCTACTCTACAGATACCTAGTTAATTTTTTTGAGACCCAATATAAAGCTTCATGACTACTCCTGCTAAAATTTTGTAACTGATTATCAGTTGTCTTCCCACAGTATCCATAAAGTTTGGAAGCATAGAGAAACGTACATAATAAATAGTGTACTGATATTACATTATTAAATACAATATGGTCAGTAAGATAATTTGAAATCATGATAATATTCATGATATACTCAATGTATTATCCATCCTTAGCAGTGCACAGTTCAAAGTACTGGACAAAATTGCAAGGAATATGGTTCATTAATTCAGCATTTCTATCAGTACCTACATACTCATATATACTTTGCCTCTGATGATTTGTCTCTGATTTTTTTCCCAAAAACAAAACAAACCAGCCTGTTCCTTTAGCATGCTACAGGAAAATTAAGAAAATAACCCACATTAAAAAGTTGTCTCTGTTTTTAGGATTTATGACAAGTCTGTAGATCTTGAACCTTGAGCTTTTTATCCAGTTGCCCTTGTCTACCACTTTTACAGTCGCTATAGCTCCAAGTTGCTGGTGAAAAGTATAGATTTAAGAGAAGTCCATGGGATACAATGAGACGACCTTCTTCAGATTTCACTTTGAACCTCCAATTGAATCATTCACCATGTCTTGAGGGTCCCCAGAAAGCTAGACGCTGTGCTAGACTATGAACATGCAAACCCTTTCCGGAGCTTGAAGGCCCTGTGGGAGACGGTAAATGAGCTGAGAGATGCTGCCCAGGGAGTACACTGTAGTAGTGATTACAGAGTGCACAGAGCACTTGGCCAGTGTGGATAAGGGACTTCCCATCACCCAGCAGCCAAAGACAAAGCTTCATAGGGAAGCTGAGTTGTGAAATAAACAACCAGAAAATCAGGGTGATACAGCTGAGGAAATATGGTGTAGGAAAAGCACAGAGGTTTCCAATAGGTGCTAGGTACATGAATGTATGAAGCTTAAGGGAATCCCCAGCCCTAGGATCATGTGCTCCAATTACCCGAGGTCTAATAGATGCAGAGCCAATATTTATTTCTTTTGGCTTCGAGATACATAGTCACCAGGGCTGGGCATTTAGCTCAGTGTTTCTGCCACCTGCCTCACAAGAGAAAGGTCCCGAGTTCCATCCCTGGATAAAAAAAATATATATGTATGTGTGTGTGTGTGTGTGTGTGTGTGTGTGTGTGTGTGAGTAAACATTGTATGTAGCTTTCCCCAGTCTGCCTCCTTAAGTAGCCTGCGTGGATTTCATGCTAGTTCTCAGAATCCATCTTTTCCTTGGCAAAAGACTTAGGAATCTTCTCTAAGTTATATATGGCTTACAGTTTTGCCAGGCTTATTGGTCCTTACAGAAGGAATTACATATTTTCTTCTTGGGTAAATTGGGACATTTGCCAGAAATGGTTTTCTGGAACTCTCCCTATCTGTACTGCTTCCCCGGGGATCAGGTATATTGACTCTGCTATCTTCTTTTTAGGCTGGTCCACAACTCTGGGATGTGAGCTTGTAGTACCTGGAGATTTACACGCTAGGGGCTAAAAGACAAATCGCATTTGTTCCACACCTCCTCTGTGTGTCTAGTATTTATAGTATTTTAGTATCTATAGTATTTACTTATAGTATTATTTATAGTATTTTAGTACTGGGGATTAAACCTCTAACCAGGGCTTCATGAATACCACTCAAGTGCTCTACCACTGAGATTTCTGACTTTTCCACTGCTCTTATTTTTTTATGCTCCTTTAAATCTATCTAGTTAGGAGACTGTTTCGCTTTTTGAAAGAGGTTAGACCTAAAAGGCAGTTGAGTCATCTTCTTTCACTATCCTCTTTTAACGTACTAACAAGATCCCTAAGTGATGGACCTCATTCCTTTTCAAATCTTAACTAAAAATAATCCACTGCCACTTTTTTTTTTCTTTTTTACTTTTTTTTTAACCAACTTCAGTTGTTGTTTTGTTTTCTTTTGTTTTATTTTTGCAAGCATTGGCTCAAACTGGGCACTTTTCTCACAGAAATGTGTCACTCTTCTCAGTTTGCCCTTGGTACTGTGCCCTTCCTTCTCTCTTTGTACACATCCTTTTCTAAACAGAACATATCATGAAAAATACAATAACTCCTTTAGATCTGTCCCCGTTGCTACCTTTCTGGGATTAGTCACAATTCATTTCATTTTGCAGGCTATTTTACCTCTTGAGTTTCTCCCCCTTTTTTAGGGTTGCAGGCAGTCCACAAACTCCTACTTATCTTTTCTCTATATTTCAAAGAATGAAACTTCCTCAGTTCTTTTCTGTATTGGTGCCTGTGCTCTAGGTAATAAGCCTTCACTGTAGGTGCTAGGATGCTGGAAGTCCACATCACTGTGAACTCTGTAATCCCCTTTCTCCAGGCTCTCCAGCCATCTGGACTATGCACACTAGCTTGGAACCCTGTTCTTGCCTGCTTCCCTCCCAGGAAGTGCACTGCCCTTCTTGAAGGATTTCCTTGTCTCTACCGGCACCCCTCCTTGTCCCTTTCCATTTGCTTGTCCTCCTTTGAACATGATCTACCCCATGCCAGGCTCAAGTTCCATTTGCCAAATTCCAATGTCACCTTGGATGTCTTTTTGGCTTCTTTAAACTCATGCAGTTGGTTATACTTACTTTGTGTGTTTTCGTACATACACTAAGATAAAAGGCAAAATCTTCTCATATGAATGAAGATGTCAATCACTGATCTGAATCTCTTGAAAATCTTACTGCTTTCATAACCTTCTTCTACTAATCCACTTTTCTAATGGATGACGGGTTGAATAAAGTGTTCTTTTCAGAAATAGTACTGGTACAGGTAGGATAAATATTCAGGTTAGATGAATAGTAAGAAATGTACATTTTATCTGGTTGGTTTTTTTTTCTAGCTATATACTGGGAAAGAACTGGAGCCAATAGAAAGTTGGCATATAAGTATATGCCCACTTATTGGTCACTCTTACTCCATTTTATGTAGAAAAACAGATGAACCTGTAAAAAGGCCCTTGGTCCCCTTATTTTGGGGAATCACATGTCACTGCCCTCTCTTGACCCCCCTGCATCTCAGCTTCTTTCCATGGCCTTCACTGTCCTCTGCACATACGTGTCATACCAGCAGTTCTGATAAGGGCACAAGG